AAACTAACAGAGCCTTGAAATTTCACATTAAAGAATATGAGGCAATGTTAGGAAAAAGGAAGCACAGAAGTCCTCTGTTGCCCAGCATTGTTGGTCCAAAAATCAGACATCTTTCGTCGGTGAATTAGATTTTCTAGAGGCGTTTCACATTCAAAAAAATCTCTCTGTTCTAGTTAATCACCCTAATTTGAATCTTCATTAGCTTCAGCCTTTAAAGAATTTTTTTTTTCCCCCATCAATAAATGGTGGCAGTAGCTTAACTTCTTTCAGCGATTCTTATCTTATCACTATATCTTGCTTATTTGCTCTTTGGCAGCTGAGAATGACCAAGTAGAACTATCCAAACTAATCCTGTGAAAATTTGCAAATATAATGCTGACTTTTGTTGTTGAACTTCTAAACTAATAAGCTTTATTATTAGAATTTATTTTACATACTATTTTTACTGAACTCTTAAAAATAAAAATGCCCCACCAGTAGCCGAGTGATTAAAACTGCTAAATACTGGTAGTTTGACCTGACTTGGGTTCAATCACAGGTGAATGTGGCTGCATGGTTGGTTTTAGTGGTTTTTCTCTTGTGTAATGTAAAATACAAACCAGTTGCCTTAGAAAGTCCTCCATGAAGGCATCCCTTCTCTCATGCAGATAGCTTTATGATGTTCAAATAAACTAACCTTATGAACAAAAATTTCCAAGAAATACTTCACACAGAATTTACTTTTCTAAATGTTATATTAAGTAGCTTAAAATTTTCAGCCTTATTTAACCACATTTTAAATCCTCCACCGCTCCCAAAGTTTTCATTTTTACCAAAATACTTGAAAGAATTACTTAAAAACCAGATTTCAGAGCTAATTTCAAAGAAGGAATATGTTGTAGAGTTAATTATTTCATATTTCAAGCTGCAAATGGTAGTTCATCATATGAAAATATGCAAGCTTTATGTAGAAACATATAAATGAATTAATACATTTTTTTACAAATGGAGATCACAACCTTACAGGAAATTTCAAAGCTATACGCATGGAAATAATTGAAACTAAAAATACATTGCAATGATAATTAAAATTCTCGTTTTAAATCCAAACCACAAATAATAATAATAATAAATAAATAAAAAGAAGATCACAATGACTTAAAATTTTGCATGAATATTCAGACAGCTAAACAACTTTGTTTTGTTCCATAAAAAAGAACAAATCAAAAATATGGTGTCATGAAGCATAATCACAATATCAAAAGATGCAAATTACATGTATATGACATACACATATCACAAACATTTAAAACGTAAAAGAAACTACAAGTTATATTTCCCATTACTTGTCAAACATATGAATTTTTCTGTTTCAATGATTTTATCATTAAATTATTGCAGTTTTCTTACAGAACTGGTTTATGTTGTCATACACCTTGTAGCTCTTGTACCAAAGTATGTAGAAAGTTCAGAGTGTTGAAGTTGGCAAATTCTGGCTTAGGCTCTGCAAATCAGATATATAAATTATTTCAAAATTTGAAAACACTGACATTTAGACATCAAACCTGGCAGGAAATGGAAGCCAGCTGATAGCCAGATAATTGCTACATCATTACAGATAATTTTCACGGATCTACCAGTATGTGTAGTCTATAAGTAGCCTCCCAGATCTACCAGTGCATATGACTTAATCATTATATTCTTGATTACAGTGCATAAAATTTTCACGCATTCTGAAATGCTATCTTCATAAAATTGTTCAATTTCAAGTGTTGCTAATATTTAGAAAAGAATAAATAAGAAATGGTCACACTCCAACTACTTGCTCAGAGAGAAGTCTGATATGTATGATTGCTGAACACTTTGAAGCACATTTCCATCTTCATGTTGTCATTAATAAACAAAACTGCATAATCTGGGCAACCAAAAATTCACATGAACATAGCCTCTTCATGGCCCAACCATCATTTTTATGATGTACAACTACAATACCATTTACTGTCCAACCATGAATTCCAAATTTATGAAAACACCTGGTTTGGGGGTGGAAGTGGGCATATTTATCAGTGATGTAGAGGTGAGCACAATAGCCCGGCAAATATAAAAGGTTCTTCCATTTCGCACTCTTATCCTTCCAGTGCTGTGCAACAGAAAATTGTTGCTTAAGCTTTATGCATTTTAAATTGATGTACTATTAAATTTTAAAGTTTTAGAACTAAATTAAAATACATAAAAATATCAAATCATAACATTTCAAAGAAAAAGGCAGTATAAGAACAATAATAATAAGCTATATTGCTTAATATAATTCATCATCAATTTATACATAATTTAATACATAACGTTTTATAAATACATTTTTAATTAATTTTAAATAGTTTCAAACACTGAATGAAAAATTTTCACCTGTTGAATATGCTTTAATAAATTACATTTCTTAATATAATCAAGTGATCTATAAATAAAATAATAAGTTATTTAATGAAAAGAGGTTGCATAAAACTTATTTTAGTTTTAATTAGACATGGCATACCTTCCCGCCCCGTTCTATATTTTTACATTTAGTTTGGCGGCACAGCACAAAGGGATCCTCCAAACTCATAGAGAAATTCAGAATATGAATTGTCACTGACAGTAAAATTTAACAGTTCACATAATTCTTCTATAATATTGTCTTTTTTCCAACATTCAGTTTCTAAATTCTTCACATAATCACAATATTTCTTCCAGCTGATCACTGAAATACCTTCAATACACTCACTGGTGAAATGTGATAAATTCAACATGTTTATATCTGCAGTTGTGTTCTCACTTCAAACACATTTTTTTGCTTCAGCCCACACATACTCTAAGGCATTTATATCACAGTGATATTGTGGGAGTCGTAGAATTGTATGGCCTTGTTCAATTCGAAATCAAATATTGAAAGTCTTAAATTTGTAATCAAATGTGTAGTATTTGAGAGCATTTTTTTCACTAAATCCAGCAACTCAACTTTTTACAAATTTGGACAAAAAGAAATGTCATTTTTTCACCAGCCATTGTATTATATCTTCCTTTCTTTGGGAAGCATTAGGAACTTTATTGAGTTGCACCAAATGATAAAGTGCATTATTGATAATTATCACAGAATTTTGTAAGTTTGGAATGAGCTTTTCAACTGCCCATTTTTCAAATACAAAAGAATTTATTTGTCCGTGATAACGGCTAGTTGTACAGTTCGCTTTATAAATTAAGCTAGTATTGGAAATGAAGCCCATCTCACCACCAGCACATAAAATTATTATGTGGTGAGAGACGCTCACTGTTTCTAATATCCCACAGATTTCATTTGATTGCCAGCATTTTCCAGAAGTTAAATTGCTGTCCATCCACATTCCGTCTACGTAAATCTGGTGATGTGATTCTTCTATGTAATGTTTAATGTTCCTCAGATACATTGTTCATAATAAAACAATGCCAGGCCTTTCTATTAAAATACTTCTTTTATTCTGAGACTTTTCCAGCTAAAATCAATTTCTCTGAGAAACTTTCTGTGTGTTTCTCTTTGCCAAGGGAAACTGATTGTTTCTTTCAGCATGTGAACAGTTTGGCTATAATTAGCACTTTCTTTTTTCTAGATATAAGTCTTGAACTGCTCATCTCAAAACATCCAAATCAAAATTATTCAAGACTGTATAGTTTCTTTCTTTTTTCTTTTTTTAGGGGGAGAGAACTCAATCTTGTCTTTACTTTCACATTCTTCATGAATTCTGTTTATGCTGCCAATAGAAATGCCAGTCATATTACTGGCTGTGTAACTGAGACGGTCAGTCTTCCTGGTTCTTCATCAGAATCTTTAATTAAATAATGCACTAACTGCTTGAAACTGCTACGGAAAGGCTTAAAATTGCTTAAAATTTTGGAATTTGCTTAAAATTGCTATGGAAAGGCTATTCTGGAGCTTCCTGGAACACTAGAATTCATAGTTAAAATGAAAATTTGAAAGTAAAGAAAAAAAATAACAGTAGGAGTGATGCTCAACAACTGTAGAAAACATACTAAATGACCGCCTGAAAAAAAAAAAAAAACTTCCAAGAGAGAAAAATACCAGTGCTTCACCCACACCCCTTCAATTAAATTGACTCCTCTTGGCACTCAGCCAAACTGCTCTCACTAGTGTGATTAGACAGTACTACCGAGTCCTTTCTTTTTGCACTTTAAAGCAAATCATGCACTTTAAAGTCACTTAATAGCCCTCTCATCTGCTCCGACAAAGTCTATTAGTATGAATCTGTTCAAAAACCATCCTACACCAACACTGCAGCTATGTAAATGGCTGGATATCAATAGTTTCATGGTAAAAGGGAGTTCTATTGAATACTGCCACACCAGTACGGTGGCTACAATAGTCATTACGAAATGAAAGGCCACTTTCCTTAATATAGTTCCTCAAATTAATTCATTGAACATGAACTAATTTGATTTTTGATGCAGGATATATAGTTATGTTGGACACCTTGGAAATTTAGATGAAGAAAAGGTTAACAAACATAATGTATCCACAACAATATCTACAAAAATACTCGACTCTGTTATGTGAAAACCTTATTTTCCAGTTTCAGCTGGAATCAAAACATGGAGAACAGCACAATGCATATTTCTTATATCATATTTATTTTTTATTTTTGCATTTCTTTCCACCACAATACAGCAAGTTATCCACTTAGCAGAAATTTTTTTTAACTAGTCTCCCCCCCCTTTCACCAAACAAAATTCTATTTCCTCATGAGTATTTACGGAAAATTTCAAGTCATTTTGACAACAGCTTATTTCACATGTTCTGAAATGCAAACTTTAATAATTACAGTGCATTCATTTTTGCTTTTCACTTTATATTTAAATCTATTAATAAAAAACACTAACCAAATACATGAAAACATCACACTGTAATTCAAATGAATAATTTAAAATACAATAAATTAAATTATATTCAATACAAAGAAATTTCAATGTGCATATTGTAATTCTGTAAAATTTACCTCCGCTCTAGGACCCCATAACCTTACTACGGGATCAATGCCACTTGTTGCTAAGAGACAAGTACTTGGATGGGGTTGAAGGCAATTTACTATAGAATCATCTCCTCGTAGCACTCTAACAATATTTGTTGTTACTCTGTCCCAAATAAAAATAGACCCATCATCTGATCCAGCAACAATATATTGTCCACAACTATATAAAAAAAAAAAAAATCTGAATTAAAAAACTGATCACATTAAATTAGCAATACTTTTCAGAATTAAATAATACATTCTATAAATGAATTGTAACAAGGTACAACATTACAAAATTCATTTACCAAAGAAGATGGATACAGAAATCTCTCATTATGCTAGTGGATTAAGTACTTCCAATCTTTTCAGTATAAATATTAATTAGCATTTAGGATATTTCAAAGAGAATAAAAAATGTGTTACAGACTTTTGCTTCACCTTTTCTTCAAAGTTTCTGCGTAATTCTTTATAGGGCTCCAACATATTTTGAATGCTTGTTTTAAAATTTGATCCCTTTTAGATGACAGTATATAACTTCAGACTTCAGAATTAAATGAATAAGCATTTTGCTTTAAAAAAAAAATTTAAAACAACCACTCAAAACTTTTTATTGAGAAGAGTTGCTTGAACTTTTAGTTCATGCTTTCACATTTCCTGTTTGCTTGGAACTGAGATAAGCTTCTCCACTGTTAACCCCTTACAAACATGGCATAAGATCATTCTTTTCTGTATCTATTTTGCTTACCACTTTAAAGCGTTCAATACCTGTGTTTAGTTCTATGTACGGCAAATAAGGTAACACAATGTTCATATCTGAAAGTTCTCTTCTGCCCATAATTAGAGCCAATAAATATTGATTAACGAAGTGATAATACAGTACAAAGTCTCTAATTCAGACATCCATAATCCGGAATGATCTATAATTCGGACCTCAAAGGTACAAACTTTATGCGCATGCGTAAACGTATAATGCGTTTACACATGCACGTTTAATGTATAACGGACGGTATAAACTAGGCTAAAATTATCTAAGGCATTTCGGTTAATGTTGCAGATTGCACTGTTCCTTAATCTTCTAATTGGATCTGGCTTATTATCTTTTGCAGACTGTTAGAGCAATTTTATAAAAAGTAAGCTTGAACTTTCGATTATGTCAAAAAGAGTTTCAAATTCTGGAGCTGCCAAAGGATCTAAAAAGCGAAAGCATGTTTCGATGTCCATCAAACAAAAAGTGGAATTGCTGCAGAAATGATAAAGGCTTATCCGTCTCAAAATTATGCAACGAGTGTGACATTGGAACGTCAACTGTGTATGACATAAGCAAAAAAGAAAAAGGAACTTTTTGAATATTTTGTGGATGCCGACACCCCACTTGCAACGACTAACAGAAAAAAGTTTCGTTATGCTAAAAGTGATGAATGTTTAATAAAGTAAACAAATAAAAATTAAGCTTTTTTTTGTAAATTTTGATACGCTTTAGATCATAATTGCTCTTTATTTCATAAATTACGGTTTCATATTTTTAATTGTATAATTTCTGCATGCCATCTTACCAGATTTAAATTGATGATCTATAATCCCGGAAAAACCCCTAATCCAGAATCGGCGAAGTCCCGACGAGTCCGGATTACGGACTTTGTACTGTATCATATTTTACATCCTGATATTCACGAGACAGACTGGAATTGACATAGCTCTTCCAGTTCAGAGCGATGGTCAGACCTCATTAATCTATGTTTTTCAAAAGACCAGTCTTTCATAAACTCGTACGCAACTTTCATTAGTCTTTCATAAACTCAAAATTTGCTATTACCTCTTGATCTTAATGCTGTAAAAATGAGGTAGCATTTGATAATAACAACAAAACTTCAACTCTCAGGACTTAGTTTGAAAGAGGGGGCTAGATGATTGTCAATTAAAAAGACAACACTAATTTTCCTTTTTTAACTTTAAAAAATGCTCTTACTTCTAGAACAAAAGTGCACTTGAATCAATCACTATACTTTCTGCTGCAACTAAAAATTATTTCTCTCAGTCCTCTTAAATACTGAAAGCTGCCCTCTATCTTTACTGTTCAGAGCTCCTGAACTCGAATTTCTAAACATGAAATTACTACTGCCACTTATGTTTGCATAAAGAAGGCAAATCTGCATTTGATAGCTTTAAAACAGCTTTTTCTTCAGTTTTTGACGGAAAGGCTTCTGAAGTAACCTTTTTCAATAAAGACCTGTCTTATTTGTAAAACTCAGCAACACTGGTTTATACACATCACTGACAGAAATTAAAAGAACAATTTTAAAAAGGTGTTTAGATTAATTCTATTCACTGAACTCCAATGAAAGGTAGCTCAAGGTCAAGGTTATCAAGTAGTCCAATGGGATTAGCTTTTGCTACACAGAAATAGAAAAATTTATCTTATTAATCTTAAGGACACTGTTACATCAAAAATTTGTACATGATTGCCTAGAAGTTCACAAAGCATGGCAAAACTGCTGTAAGTTACATTATGGTGAAAGGGGGCTACCTCAAACATTATTAACTTTTCCCACGTACCACTAAAAAGTATTAATACCACCATTTCATAACTCCATATCAGATTTCCTATGCTCTTATTGAAGTTTATTTTCAGAAGAAATAGGCAATGTTTTATTTTGATGGTACATAAGATGTGACAAAATGAAGATGAAGATCTTGTTTCAAATACAACACATATACATATTTAAATTGGATATCTCTCTCTCTCTATATATATATATATATACCTAAATTGGATATATCTATATACACTCTTAGATAAAAAAATAATGCACCACGATGCACCGAGAAGATATAAAGCAAATTGGACACAGATTGATATACGTACAGGTTTCGACGGAAAATGCAAAATTTTACATTTTGGCTGCCAATGAATGAACGGTTGTCGCTACAGCGCATCTGATATGTGCAACTGGCAGGATATTTAAGAGAAATTACGTTTTCAGGTCATAAATTCTTCACAAATTTTATTCCTTGTACTCTGGTAGACAGTTTCACATACAGGTGTGCAAAAGAAATGTGCAGATATCAGAATTTGAAAGAGGTCGTGTAGTTGGGTTCAAAGAAGCTGGTTGGTCTTATCGGTCAATAGCTCGACCTTTGAGCAGGAGCGATGCCACTATTAGACGATGTTGACAGGAATGGATTAACCATGGCTGCACACAGCATCAAGAAGGAAGCGGTAGGCCTAGAGAAACGACAGAAAGTGAAGACCGAGCAATCGTCAGAGTGGCACTCACAGCCCCAGATGCATCATTATCATCGATTGTATGTGCAACTAGTGCTTCAGTGACCGCAAGGCCCATTCATAGACAGCTCACAGAAAGGGGGCTGAGGTCACGGCGCCCCTTGCGCCGACTACCATTGACCTCTGTACAACATCAAGCCTGTCTGCAGTGGTATCAGGTTCATTCGCACTGGAATGTCACTGACTGGAGTAGAATAGTCTTCAGTGATGAGTCCCGCTTTGAACTGAGCCCCAATGACCAGCAAAGGCGAATCTGGAGACGTCCCGGACAGCAATCTAATACCAACCTGACTGTCTTCCGGCAGACAGGCCGACAACCAGGAGTGACGGTGTGGGGTGCCATTTCATTTCATAGTAGGACCCCTTTGGTTGTCATCCATCGCAAACTTACAGTGCAGCAGTATGTCAACGAAGTTCTAAGGCCCGTCGTGTTGCGCTTCATGTCACACCACCCTGAGCTTACATTTCAGCAAGATAATGCTTGCACCCACACTGCTAGTTTTTACTGCTTGCCTTAGTGCTTGCTGAACATTACCTTGGCCAGCAGGGTTGCCGAATCTCTCTCCTATTGAGCACGTTTGGAGCATTAGGCAGGGCCCTTCAACCAGCTCGGGATGTTGACCATCTAACACACCAGTTGGACAGAATTTGGCACGATATCCCTCAGGAGGACATCTGCAACCTCTATCAATCGATGCTAAGCCGAATTAACTGCTTGCATAAGGGCCAGAGGTGGACAAATGCATTACTGACTTTTTCACTTTGTGAAGCTCTATCACTTCAATAAATCATCCAATTTTTCTCAAACTGTAATCATTTGTTTTTCCGTACATGTACATCACTTCTGCCAATTTTCGTCCCATTCGGATAACTCCTTCTTGGTGCGTCTTTTTTTTTTTTTTTTTTTGTGTGTGTGTTTTTTTGTTTAAGAGTGTAGATAATTAAATAATATTAATTACTAAAATTATAACCTTGCAGGGTATGATTACAAAAATTCAAAATAAAAGTTTGAGAAGTAGTAAATACAAATTTCAAACTTAAGCAAAAGTGAAGTAGTCAGGCCAAAATGGCCAGAATATTAGAATAGTTAGATTGAACTATTTTTGCGCTTGCCAGGGGGATGGAAAAAAATCATTTAATTTCCTTTCCAATAAATTGGTAAAGAGATGAACATTTCTGACACAATGCAATTTTCAAAATGAAAAAAATAAATAAATAAATAAATAAAAGAGATTAATTCAAACCAGCACAGCACCATCTCCTGCAATCTGAGCAACTGAAAAAAATTAAAAACAAAAGCAATGGGAAATTGAATTACCGTATTTGACGGCATATAAGACACACTTTTTTCCTTACATTTGGTATCAAAAAAGTTACCTGCGTCTTATACGTGAAGGACACAGGTTAACTTTCAATACTGAATGCTATTTTTAGCCTGGATAAAGGTCTAGACACACATAACTTTTTCTACATCTACATGTGTGTGGCCTTCTAAATAAGGTGTGACTTATATGCCGTCAAATACAGTAATTTTGTTCATTTCCCTGAGGAGACCTAACATAGTTCAATCTGACTGTTGTAATATTTTGGCCATTTGGCCTAGACTACTACACTTTTGCTTAAGTTCTAAATTTGTATTTACCAGTTATCAGCTTTTCCTTTTATATTTCTATAATAATTTTGAAGGTTACAATTTTAGTATTTAATATAATTACAATATATTTTTACTGCTGAAACACAATTATTACTATGATTTAGAGAGTACTTATATTTCAAAAAAAATTTCGCATTTATGCAAACACAAACCTTATTTGTGTGTACACATATCAGGGTTCCCACTCAAACAGGAAAATAAAATTCCCAGAATTTTCCAGGTGTGTTTTAAGAAAATTCCA